TTTTTGAGACAGGGTCTTGCTATGCAGCTCAGGCTGGCCTTGAGCTCACTTTGTAGCCCAGGCTGGTCTCAAACTTGCAACAATCCTCCTGCTTCAGCCTCCCGAGTGCTGGGATTACAGGTGTGCACCACCACGCCCGGCCTACCTTGGCCTTTGGAAGTGTCTTTCACTCCCTCCTGTGCACCACTGGCGCACCCCATTAGTGTGCTGTTTTGTTTTCAGTAGACTTGGTTTTGTTCGGGCTTTGACGAAAGCTCCTCCCGGCACCCGAGCCCAGGCTGGCCCGGAGAATAGGTGTGTGCAGTGGATGCGGCCGGCCTTGCTGCGCCAGCCCGGGCACGTCCACTCTGAAGGCAGAGCAGTGAGGAGCCGCGTGCTTCCTGCACTCGGGTTGCCAGGCCCCATAAACCAGCAGGCCAGTAACAGTAAAATTGTCTTGCTCCTTTAGTGCTTGTCATAGGTTTCGGTTGTTTATTGCCAGATTCTTATGTTGATTATGAGGTCAACTTTGAAACAAAAATTTCCACTACTTCTGTTTCTAGCTTGTAATTTTTTTTTTTTTTTTTTGAGACAGAGTTTTTCTAAGTTATCCAGGCTGGCATTGAACCTGCAGTCCTCCTGCTTTGATCTCCCTGAGTGCTGGGATTACAGGCATGTGCACCACGCCTGCCTTCAACTGGTTTAATTGAAGACTACTCTGACCTCAGAAGAGACACTGTGAGCTCGGGGTGTAGCTCAGGGGTAGAAGTACTTGCCTAGCATGCATGAGGTCCTGGGTTCCATTCCTAACTCCGGGGACCCATTGACAGGACTTCAGAGCACAGACACCGGAGTGGAACCCTTGACCTTGGGCAAATTACCTGCTCATTCGCATCTCAGGTTTCTCACTTATAAAAGGGAAGTGTTAACCGTCAGCCCACCTCAAAAGGCCCGGGCAGAGCTGGACGTGGTAGTGCGCACTTGTGATCCAAGCAGGCGTTGAGCTGAGGCCGGATGGTGAGCTGCAGGTCAGCCTGGGCTACAGAGAAAGACCCTGTCTTTAAAAAAAAAAAAAGCATTCAGTGGATTACTACATGCAAAGTGAGGAGAACAGGGGCTGGCCTATAATGGATGCTATGTGATGGGTTCTATCATTATTATTCATATTATTTATTTTTATCATTATTATTATTATTATTATTATTATTTTTGTCTTTTTGAGACAGAGTCTCGCTATGCAGTTCAAGCTGGCCTTGAGCTCACTTTGTAGTCCAGGCTGGTCTCGAACTTGTGGTGCTCCTCCTGCCTCAGCCTCCCGAATGCTGGGATTACAGGCATGTGCCACCACGCCCGGCCTATCATTATTATTTATAAGCATCCATCCATATGATCAGAGCTCTCTCGGAACTGCGTGTACCCAGGCAAAATATAAAAATAAGTTAGATGCTAAGACTGACATTAAGACTGAAATTGCAACAGGAACTGGCACTGAATGATTTTGGCCAAAGAGGGGCCCATGGGAAGGGCACTGGGCAGCTCGCAGAACCCCGGGGAACGCCGCAGAGCTCTGAAATGCGAACAAAGGACTCTGGGCCCCAGCCAGCGGGGAGACCAAGACCGTGGCGCAGGAGCTCTTCAGAGGCTTGGCCGGGTCTTGGAACCTTAGGCAAACGGTGCCAGGACCACAGCCGCAAGCCTGAATGATGAGCTTGTTGCTGCTGCTCCTGGAATCTCGACAGTGGAATCTGGTGCTCTGGCCACTCCCAGCAGAAAAGATCCTTTGCTGGATCTGTGGTAGGCGTGGGCTCCTGACTCAGAGTCCACGGCAGCACAGCAGGTTGGCGGAGCCCAGGGCATGTTTCTGCCCTGTGTCCCTGAAGCTAGGACGCGCTTGGTTGTCGGCCTTTGAGGTGATAGCTGGGCAGTGGGTTTCAGCTTCCACTAAGAGTCATAGGTGAAGTTTTTCCTGACCTGGGAAAGGATTCTAAGCCTTGGAGGTATAATAAAAAGGAATACTCGGTGAATGTTAAAACTATTTTAAAAAATTATTATAGTAAAAACCATATTGCTATTAATCTTCCTCAAAATACTTCCCCACAGCCGCCGAGCTTTGAACACACTTATCCCAGTGTTGGGGCAGTTCCGGAGCAGTTCTGGAACTCCTCTTGTGTGAGTACCTTTAGTTGCGCTGTCTTGGCTGCCTCAATGTCCCGAACTGATTCAAAAACACATTCACCTTTTATGGTCATTTTGACTTTGGAGAAGAACCAGAGGTTACCTAGTGCCAGATCCCGAAAATAAGGTAGATGAAGACACACTAACGTTTTTTACAAATCTGCCTGTCCAGGTGGACTTGTAAAATATGTCGTCATATTTTCAGTGACACCTTGTAAAGATACAAAAAAGGACTTCCA